AATAATACATTCAGTAAATACTATATAAGGGTTTTGTTTTTACCAACAAACATTTTCCATGAAAAAGAGCACACAACAGGAACGATAGTGGCCTAGCTGTATTTCTTCGGATTTGATGTACATAGATACATACAGACATACATACATATGTACATTAGGGTGTCCCGTGGACCACTTTTTAGGATGAATACCTCTAAAACGATGTGTTTCAATGTACTAAATACGTGAAAAATAAAAAACCATTTTTTTTGGAAAGGTCCCCAGTTATCTACCTAATTTTGAGCTTATCACGGGAAAAATAATTAAAATTTTTGTTAGTGTATTTCTGGTACGCAAAACGACTTTCATTGTATTATAAAGGCCATATAAATTTAAAAAAATTCTACTAACTATTTTTTAAATATTTTTCTGTATGAGCTAAAAATTACGACAATTTTAACACCCATTTCGATTAAAACCGAAAATAATAGTCCTCTCCAGCCCACTAAAAATCATTTTGAGGACCAAAAATATTCTACTAAAATTTTAATATTATTTTTACTGAAATTATCTCAAAATTACGGAAGTTTTGAACCCATTTCGAAAAAATTGAAAATATTTTATTTTATTTTTCAAAAATTATACTGAGGTCAGGATTTTCAATCGCTAGTAGGGAACTGAGACCCATTCCAAAAAAATATTTTTTATTTCTATCGTGTTTAGTACATGAATACGCATCGATTGAGTGGTATTCCTACATGAAATTCTTAAAAAGGCTGTTCCTCGGGACACTCTAATGTTCATCTCCCTATCAACCAAATCTAACCTATGCCAATTTATTTTTATGCACCTTATAATGCACCAAAAGTCGTTTTGTGTACCAGGAATAGTCTATAAAAAATTTTAATTATTTTTCTCGCTATAAGCTCTAAGTTACTGAATTGTAATTATTTTCCTCGCTCTAAATTACTGAATTTTTGAGACCCATTTCGAAAAGATTGCAGATCATTCTTTTAAACATATTGTGTACTGAGACCAAAATTTTCAATAGCTGGTTTTTTATTTTTCACGTGTTCAGTACATTAATACTTCTCGTTTGAGAGGTATTCCCAGAAAAATATGGTCCACGGGACATCCTATTATACACGTATCTTTTGAGAAAATATTTATATTACACAAATTCCAATCAAACAATTTTACATACAAACATAGTAAAATATATAAAAATAACTAAAAAATATGTACTTTCAATCAAAAATCCAAAAATTTTAATTCATTATTAAAAAATTCAACCACCATTCACAGATTCCATTAAAATTGCCAATGAAAAACTTAGTTAATTAAGCTAATTAAACATCTCAAGATCAATGAAATATTTGAACGACTTTCCCATTCCCAATCTTTGTTCTAAATAAAATCGACAATTTAACCAATTATTGTTGTTGGTCCTTGATATCAAGTTCAAATATAAGGTAATTTTTTGTTTCTGTTATTTGTTCGTAATCTTGTGAAATTAATTTAATTGTAACAAATAAAAGTGTTCAAGTAAAATCATTTTACGCACTTGTTAAGTTGTATTGAAGGTGAAAAAGAAATAGTAGCATGTCTGTCCATCAGTCTTTATGTCTCTTAACCCTTTCACACAATGTACTTCATTTACTTACCCGCATACATAAGTATGAATGTAGGTTTATTAGGGTATAACTTTTTTTTAAATTTTTGTAAATTTCAGATGATCCTATCCATTCCACATGGAGTATAAAAAGTACGTAGACAAAGTATGTCTTCAAATTTAATTCGAAATTTTTGATGTAAACAAGTATTATCGTTTTAAGCGGAGGAAGAGCAAGTATAGGGGGTAAGGTTTATCCCTCTTTCAAATTTACCGCAGAAGGTTTTTGCAAGAAAATGACCTATGAAAAAGGTTTTCGTTATAAGAACACTACTGGCTACCACGTAGTGATAGGGCTTTATTTTGGTTATTACCCTAATGTACATACGTATGTATGCATGTACTATGTATGTATGTACAAAGTAGTTACAAGTCAAGCAGACAGTTAACCAATAAACACAGCAGCCAAGAAAAATGTTAAAAATAAATCATTTATGTTGTACCAGTTTGTATACATAGTTTCGAATTAAGCTTTAAAAATGATTTCATTAAATTGAATTGTTAAAAATAGACTTTTTTGAAGCTTATTGTGACTCTCTAAAAAAATATTAAAAAACCCTCAAAGCTAATAAAAAAAAAAAATAAAGTAGTAAAAAAATTTTTAAAAAATAAAACTAAAACATTCAGTCAATTCTTCAAAACTAAATTGTATTATACAGACATTTAAACATTTAAAGAATGCATTTGCGTAGATTTTTTTCACACCAAACATTTTACATTTTTGTTTATTATAGCAGTAATATATTATCACATATTTTTATATGGAAGTACCTTCTCTAGTTAATTTTTTAATTGGTTTAATAATCCATTTACAGTGATTCCCACTAGTCTGTATCGGCATATCAAAATTTCATTTGTATTGGAGTTTCCAATCGTACCGCTTCGGTTGTAAATTTACAAAATCCATTTATTGACGGAAGCAAAATCTAAAAAAAATAACAAGTTAGAGTGCTATATTCGGCTATGCCGAATCTCCACCAGCAAGCTCTTTTTTATTAACTATCTAGTTTTTAGATAACTACGCATAAGTTTAGTTTCCGTGGTGAGGGAACTATCATTTAGTAATTTTATTAGGCGTATGTGGAACTTATATTGATTACGTCGAAAAAATTATATTAAGTGATATGGATATGGACTTTTTACGGGTGTTATGGCCTATTATGCATACCAACAAATTTAGGAGAATGATTAGTATATTCACAAACCATGTTCATGTCGTGTTTTACTCCGACGTCAAATATTTTAGCAGAATGATTTATATATACACAGAACATGCTCATGTTCACAAAACATATTCAAGTTGATTTTGTCCCAATAGCTTATTAGTTAATGAAATATGTGGGTTTAAGTGATTTTCGGAAGTTAAACTTATATGGGAGCTATGGCCAATTACGAGCCTATCCAGAAAAAAATGTAAAACATTTTACATTACAATAAAATTACAAATTATATTCGAACCTAATTTAACGAGCAGGGTGACGATGACCATACGCCCGTTGTAGTGTAGCAGACCAGGATCTCTGGTGGGAATCGAACCCACAACCCCCAGACTGACAGGCTAGCACAGTACCAACTAGCCTACCGGGTACCCATACACAAAACCTATTCTTGCCAATTGTAGACTGATTGGAAACAAATTTCGCTGAATGATTTATATAAATATATACAAAACATATTCGGAGTTTTACCCCAATAGATCTATTAGTTAATGAAATATGAGCGTTTAAGTGATTTTCGGAATAGGACCTTATATGGAAGCTATGGCCAATTATGGACCGATTCGGAAAAAAATTTCGTAGAGTTATTGATACATATTCATGTCGAATTTTATCCCGATAGCTTTATTTATCAATGAAATATATGCGTTAAAGTGATTTTTGGAGGTGGACCTTATATGGAAGCTATGACTAATTGTGGGCCAATACAGATCTACGTCGGTAATGTGATTTAAGTTTATATTGGTGGTGGAGGGTATAAACAAGTCGAGAACGAGAGACTGATTTGAACTAAGACTGATTACATCAGTACAACCTCCGCACGATGATACCCAAATTACGAAATTTTTTAGACCCATTTCGAAAAGATTTCAGAAGCTTTTGTAATTTACATTGCAGCCAATATTGTTCTAATAACGAAAACCTTCCGCGGAAAATCGATTTTCTAAAACCATTCAGTGGAGCACAAACCTTTAGCAAAGTATAATTTGTTTAATCTTTGGGTTTGTTGGTCCTTATGATTATAACGTTTAAAAAATTACAATAATATTGAACAGAAATATATTTTATGTGAAATGAAATGCGACAATAGATATTACGAGTGCCGCCCCATAACTGATATCAGCGCCTTATATGGTCTCATTTAAGATTGGTGATGATTGCTTTAAAATATTTGCAAAATTAGTTTGTAATGCATGTAGTATTTATAGTCTTTATATGACCCAAATATGACCCAATAGAAAATTTTGAAACCAATTTTGGACTTTAGCATCCCTTTAAAAAAATTTTACATTGGGAATCTCTGACCAATAACATTTTGAGTCTAGGCAATGTAGACACAAATATTTTTTCACACAAAAGAAAAGTTTAGAGACGTGGACAATAAACGGTAATATTTTTTGGAAACACTGTTATTGTTAATGTTTTAAAAAATTAAATAGTTTTTTTTTCGTTTCATTATTTTATTAACCACAAATAGTTTCACGATTGTGCGCAAATGATTTAGACGAAGGTCAATTAAAACAGACGGGGAGTAACATGCTAAAGTCCAGACGAGAAAGACAGACACTTAAACGGAATAATGTGTAGCAGCAGTTGATCACAATAATATGTAGTAAAAAAAACACTTAAAAATGGAAACAAAAATACCGAAAATATAATTTATATGTTGTTTAGTTGATATTGCAACCTAATTAAAATTACGTGTCTAAAACACTCAGATACAGATATGCGAAATATCAATAGATCATACATACAAACATTTATCACTCCTCCTTAATGTTGTACAAAAGTTTTGAATGGTTCGCATGTATGTGAAATTAAATAGTACCGTTTCAGTGTTTTGTCCATACAATTTTTACGTTTAAGTCTTTTGAAACAATTCACCAAACTGAATTGTTTAATTTATCATAAATATTTTAATTAAATTTAAACGTGATTAATTTATATTCAGAGCAAAAACATGAAATCTAACTAAATTATGCGGAAGTCTTTGCACAATTGTAGTGTTAAAAATTCAAAAAACTATTTTAAAACATTCCATAACAACAAGAGAATGCTCACTTAAAGATGTCGACTAAAAGAATTTCATATTAAGTAGATACCCTACATTCGTTTAGAAAAACACACAACACTTTGCTGCTGGGCCAGCAAACATTTTTTACGCCTATTGCAATTTTTTATTCATTTAACCTAAACTATCAACAACATTTAAAATTTTGTTTAATGATCGAAACATCGTTTGAAGTATCCCAGCATCGTTGGGCGATTCAGTGTTGAGCATTGAGTATCCCTTTAGAGTTTCATGTATCACCTTTGCTTATCACACGGGGACATCTGGAGATTGCTGGAACTTGAGAATCATCTGAAAGAAGAAAAGTGATTTTGTTAATTTAAAATACATTTACATGAAAATTCCATAAAAGTTAACACAAAACATTGGTTTTTAATATACAGCTATCCCTCGATTTACACGATATATACATATGTACGTATCTACACAAAATTGTGTAATCGAATTCGAAAAATTATGTGGAAGTATCATTGTTTTAATATTATAAAGGAAATAAAATATTTAACAACAACAGTTTATGTACTGATTAAACGTAAAAAAATGTTTTATAAAAACTTTAAATTTCATAGAATTTTAAGGTCTAAACAGTTTTAATGAGTTAAATCTCATAAAAATCTGTATACAGAAAAAGAGAATCGTCTAAGTATGATTATATTGATATCAAGTACATAACACATGATCCAAGTACAGATCCGTTAAATATTGAAAACATAATTTAAGCCTTTTTAGGATCAAAGCGATCTTACAATTTACTTACTTTTGAGAATTTTCGGTTTCATTTAAGCTCGAATGCATACTTGATTTGCAATAAAAATAATATTAAATTAAGAATGTAAAATATTGAATTAATCCCAAATATACTTGATTTGAGCTTCATTCTTGATTTCAGAACATTTCAGCAAAAAATAACAAAAAATATTTAAAATAATAATAAATACACATTATTATTTAAACATAATTAGAATTATATGTTAGGATGAGATTTTGACATTCAGTTAAAGAATTTTTGCTATCGATTAGTTTAACAGTTGAGAAAAAATAAAGTTAAATTTAGTATGCCATTTTTCCTTCTGTACTACATACTATGTATAGTAGTTTTACTGCGAAGTAGTATAAAACATGCAAATAGTGTTATTTATATACATATGTAGAGAGTTATTTAATTCTTTTATTCCCCGATATTGTGTTAAGCTTTGTAGAAGTTAAATGTGATCAGAATTGTTTTTTGATCAAATAATTCCGTAATATTTGTTCTAATTCAATGACTTTAATTACTAAAATGAGACGTGTAAATCAAGATTTAAACGAAGTAAAATCGTTTACTCGTTTCGGTTTTTGGGGTTAATCGGCAATTTTTTAGACATTTTTCCGACATTTATTAAATTATTATTTTTTCTGTCTACATTCATAACAATTTATTAAAGGTTTATAAGTCAATAAGTTCATACAAAATTTATTTTATAAAATTTTCATAAATTTTTATGAATAAGGCAGTAAGCAATTAAGTCTTATAAATTAAACAATAATTTTTCTCTTAGTGGTAAATAAACTCTAAGAAGTTTTGATAGATTTTGAGTTCCTATAATTTTGACTAATATGCCTCACTAGCTTTTCTAATTTTGTCCTTGACTGGCGCATCTAACTCTCTATGGATGTTCCTATATTTATACCCAAGATCAAAAAATATGGTGGGTATATTGTTTTTGTCATTCCGTTCGTAACCCATCGAAATATTGGTCATAGACCCACAAAAGCATATATATATTCTGGGTTCTTATTAAATTCTAAGACGATCTAGCCATGTCCGTCGGTCTGTCAGTTGAAAAGACGATAGAGTCCGAACGGAAAGAGCTAAAGAGTAAAAAAAAGGGTGGTATTGAAAATGGGCAATATCGGTCCACGTTTTCGCATAGTCCCCGAAAAACAGCTTTAACAGTCATAACTGCTTTAATAATAACTGTACAGCAACGAAATTCGGCATAAATAAGTTTCAAATGCGTTAAAATCTCCCAAAAATCCATCAAAATTTATGAGAATCGGTCCATAATTGATCCCCATGTAGGAATACTTCTCAATCGATGCGTATTAATGTACTGAACACGAGTAAAATAAATAACATATTTTGGAATGGTCCCCAGTGGAATTGATAATCCATATAAGGTTCCTTAAAAAAAAAATGTTTCCATTGGTCATAACTGACTTAAAAATTCTAGTATAGTGACGAAATTCGACCCCGACAAACTTTACAGAAATAAAAATCTTTCTACAAAATTTTATTAGAATCGGTCTATAACTCACCCTAGATATAGGCTTCCACTCAAAAAATGTTTTTATTGATCATAACAGAATTTCAAATACCTGTATAACTATGATATAAAACATAAATAAATTTGATAGGAAAAAAGATCTTTATAAGATGCCCTATATAAGGTCTACATCAGAAAATTACTTTGACGCTCATAATTGGCTTAATAGTACCAGTATAGTGACGAAACTCAACACAAATAAGTTCAATAGGAATAAAAAAAGTTCTACCAAATTTTATTAGAAAAGATCTATAACTGACCGTATCCCCCATTAGAAAGTTAGTTTAAGGCTCATAACTAGATTCATTATACCAGTATAGCGATGAAATTCGACAGAAATAAGTTTTATTGCAATACAGATTTTTCTGTCAAATTTGATAATGATCAATTCACAATGGATACTACCGCCCATATAAGACCCCCTTCAGAAAATTACTTTATGGATCATAACTGGTTTGAAAAGTAAAGGGATAAAATTCGACAAACAAGTGTTAAAATTCAGGGGTTCTCATATACCAATTCCATTCCATTAATTTTACTGGTATGTGTAAAAAGGTCACATTTTTTTTAAAAAATTTTTCATTTTCATCATGCTCTACCTACTTTGGTTGCATAAATATTTTTATTAAAAAAATAGAAAACTGGGCTATAAAAGTTAGTCAATGTAAAAAATTTATTTGTTTATAAACAAATTTGTTTTTTTCTCGACACCAATCATTATGTAAATATAATCAGCACTTGATTTGTAATTTTATTTTTTACAAAACACAATATTGCAGAAGTAGATTTTAAAGTTTGATTTGTCCAATTTCTTTTAACATTCAAACCTATCAAATATTTGACGAATAAGACGTAACCACTATTTTTTTTGATCGTACATGATTTTTGTAATTGCAAATAATATCGAAATAAATAAAAATAACATTCTAAAGTAATATATTCAAAGATATATTAAATTTGTGTAAATAAAAATTCATTTAAACGAAATGTAAAATTAAGATTTTTTAGGGATCACGTCTTTTTCATCAAATATTTGATAGGTGTGAACCTGTCTAATACTAGACACTTTTTATAGGATTTGATAGTAATCAACTATTTTTTAAACTTAAAATCAAAATAATACCTTATTCTGATCCAGACAGACAAAAAACTTATATTTGTATATTTAATCCATAATCTGTTCACTGTTGTTTTTCTGTCACAAAGCTGGAAGAATTGATAATTCATTCGATGATCCTTTGGTAATTTTGTAAATGATAATGATAATGATGAAGATAATGGTGAGGATAATGTTGACGTTGGGAATATCAGAAAAACGTAACGCGAACAAATGTCCGGTAAATAACGAAAAAATAAATCTCCAAACAAAAAACTCTGAACGGTCTCAACACAAAACACTGAATGATGAATCAGGAGATGACAACCCATATTTATACACAAGCTCAAAGGAGTAGAAACTAAAGAAAAACAAAAACAATCCAGCAACACATACTAGAATTGAGTAAAAATTGCAATCACTACATATTTGCATTTAGCATGGAGTACATTTTGCCACAACTTTCTTGCATTCAACTGGGCAAGTTGAAGGAACAAAACAAAAGAAATCTGTAAGAATCTCAAGAAAAAAGTTTAGGGATTGCAGTGGTGGATGGCTGGCTGGCTGATAATTGATAGTACAAGTTTTAGACTGAAGAATGTGAAAAGACAGAAGATACTTACAAACACTCAGATTCTCGTACAAACCAAAAAAAAAAAATAAAAATGAGAAAAAAGAAGGGTTCGTCTCACTGTGATTGCATTGTTGTGATCCTTTAATTTAAACATATAACTGAAGGCACAAGGGAGTGTCATTGAATGTTTGTTGTTGAACACTTTTATTTGTTCCCTGCTTCATTCAGTGTTTTGCTTTCCATCATTTCGAATGATGCACTCAAAAAGGTCAGCAACTTGTATTTACACTACTTGGTTAAAAACAATGCGAAACAAACCAACCAACCATCCATCCATCGATCCTTGATCTATGTTGTATATGGAAAGAGTTGCTAAACTTTATTTAAAATAATAATAATAACAGAATAGAATCAGAAGAACAAAGCCAAAAAGAACATTTTTTCATTATCTTGCAACTATTTAAGTATTTTACTTTCGACATTGCACCAGGTGTACCGACAGACAGTCGGTTGAGAGTATATTTTTGAATTTTAACTATTTGAAGCATTTTGGGGTAACTAGACGAAAGAGTAATGAACTGCCAGAGATGCTGGCTGTGATTCCATGTAATGACCTTGAACACACTTGTAATTTTATCCAGCAGACAGACTTCGACTTTTCAGTCGCAGTTGTTCTTAAGTTCCCTGTATGCCACATCCTTTGTAAACAAGAATAGAGAACGAATCTTGTAAATTTATTGGCAACAGCTGGTTTTTCGCTTACAATGTTGTTAAATTGTTTTCTGTTGTGATGTGATTTAATGTTGATTTTTGTTTTCATATTTATTCTCTTTTTATTTATTTATTTATTTATTTTTTTTTTGTTGACCAATTTCTAAATGTTCTTTCTCATTAATTTTATTTTGTTTTCAAGAACTAAACTCATATAAGCTTAATTATTTTAAGAAATTTTCCAAAATATCTTTTCGTTTGTATGTGCGATTATTATTTGAGTGTTTTGAAATTTTATTTACGAGAATTTATGCATTCAATAGGCTTGTGTGAGTAAAATAATCAGGCCAGACACAATTCAAGTATTAAACAAAAGCAACAACAATTAAGGAAGTAAAATATCACTTTCTGGTCATTGCACTCTATTTAATTGAAGATCTTCTTTAATGCACAGTGGTATTATTAAAAGAACTAAGGAAAATTTTTATTTCGTGAATCGATCTTCTTTGCATATAAAATATAGCATGGTTGCCAGTTTGTTCTGTTAGATGGTAGATTTCGCCTTTTTATACCCATCATCCAAAAAGGTAAAGAAGGGGACGTTTGTAAAACATCAACGATGCGTTTTAATATACTAAATACGAGAAAAATTAAAACCAATTTTTTGGAAAAGATTCTCAGTTCCCTAACAGCGATTGAAAATCTTGATCTCAGTACAATATGTTCAAAAAAATTTTCTGTAATATTTTCGAATTGGGTGTCAAAAATTCCGTAATTTTGAGTCTAGCCAAAAATCTTCAAATTTTGGTAATGAGTAATCTAGATAATGTAGTTATTTGATTGTTTTGAATGGAATTTGTAGCCAAAGTTTGTGGTACGAATCATGGTTGATATCAGTATTATTTGAAAAAACGACGACTTATACTTTCATGTAAAAACTATTACAAAAAGTATTATAAAATAACTTGTTAATGGAGCACTGAGTAAGCGGAAAGACTAATAAATACAAAAAATAACTGTAGAGCCAGGTTTAAGCCCGGGAAAGTCGGGTAAGCACATTTGTAACCAGTTGTTTTTTGAACTTCGTCGAACAAAAATAATTAGTTATTCACCCCAAAAGTAAGTACTTCCAAATTACTCCAATATTACTTGCCTGCTTACCGGGTAAGTAAAGTTTTTCCTGAGGGCTTATCGCTGGAAAAATAATTATAATTTTTGTAAGTGTATTTCTGGTTCAGAAAAAGACTTTTATAAGTATATAACTTACTAAAATTGGGAGGGTATATTGGGTTTGTACTGATCTTTGTAAAGCACAATGAAATTTGGTACATGATCTTCTATTGTACCAGAGACGAAGCCTGTTGAAAATGGTTCCTTTATCTCACCTATCCCCCATACTACAGAAAACCCGAATCGGACTCTTAAGTTCATAATTATGTTTAATATACTCGTATCTCGATAAAAAACTGCAAAACCATTTTCTATACTAGCCTTGATGACCCTGATGAATTCTATAATTATAGGGCCTCATTTGACCCTAGCCCCAATACAAAGCCCCCTTCAAAATATGACTTATGTAAATGTTAACAAATATATCTGAGACAAGATACAATTCAACTTAAATACTTTATAGTCGGCCTCGCAAATTTTCTTTCAAATATTACCTAAAAATACATAATTAATTTCTGTTATATCACTTAACACAGCATCATTCTCTGGCCCTTAGGGCAATGTCCATTTATCCGAAATTTTCGAAGAAATCGCAGTGGATTGTGACCACCAATTTTTTTCTAATTCTAATCATAAATATCACCTGAGATACAATCCGAAATTATGGATAGACAGACATTGCACAATGGGTCATAGAGCGATTTTGATATAAAACGTATAACAGTGTACATATATAACGTAAAAATTATGACAAGTTAGTTATTGGTACATTCTATATTAATTCCCAGATTGATAATTTTTTTGTCCAATTTTCCTGGGGTAATAAAAATATCGAGAAAAATGATTTTAAAGTTTTGAAAAATTCTAAAATTATATGGAAATTTTCAATTTTACAAAGATAATAATTATAATTAAAGCAAAACTCTACTTTATACTACACAAACTCAAATAACACAGGCCAACGTTGAAAAAAACTTTTTAAATAATTTTCACTATTATTGGGTGTACTGATTTCGAATTAAAAAAGTCGTTTCAGCCACAAATTTTCAACATATTCTGGCTGTATACTTGAGTCCCAAATATAAAATTCTGTAATTTTACAGAAGTTGCGAATAGCGTTCGTCTCTGCCTCTAGAAATGCGTTCTGGAAAAATTTTGCGCAATAGAACCACGTTAACTGATGGGGGAAAACGAGTTTTAAAAAAATTTTAACACTCAATTTATATTTTTTGATTTCAGCAGCAAATATTTACTATATGAATGCAATTGTCGTTCCAATAAGATATGAAACACAACTCGGTTAAACATTTTTTAATGTTATTACAAATTCCTCCAATCATTTAGTATCACATAACACTTAAAGGAGAAATATTTAAATTTTTTTTTAAAATTAGGGAAATTTTCTTAAAAAACATGTCATTGCATTAAATATATTCGTATTAACTTAAATGTGAGTTTTTATCCTCATTAGATAGAGTAAAGGGCCCTTCAGACGATCACACATTACGTACGACAAGTCTAATGAAAAAGTAAAATAAAATTCCATCCGTATGACAAAAAAGAATATAAAAGTCGTATGATTTATTTTTTTTGTGTTTACACTATTGGTATAAAACAATAACAAAGTAAGATGGAAACAGTTGTTTCACTTTTTTTGTATGTGTTTATATAAAAATACATCCCTGATCTAATGCGACTTGCTTTTTTTTTATCATTTAAAGAAATGAAGAGAGCCATACGACTGTCAAATTTTCCATCCGTATTTTCTCTCAATGTGTGATGATTTCGTTACATATTGCGTTTAGACGATCCCATTCGATCTCTTTTACACAAAATTTTGACAGTTCATATTATTTGTGTGAAAATCTCCATGTGACTTATGTACAATAAAAAAGGGTATAAAATAGTAAAGAAATTAGGTCGATATCTCTCACATATTAGCGGTACCTGCGATTTCAATTTTGAGGATTTTGGAGAAAACAATTTTTGTTAAATATTTTGGAAAACAGGATTTGTTCTTTATTACTATGCATTTGATGTAAAATTTTTCAGTGAAATATTATTTTGTTTTCAACCGAAATATATAATTAAAACCTGTAGTTATGATGACATCGATAAAATTTAAATTAACCCTCAAATGTAAATATATTTTTATAATTATATAAAATGTCTGTAATATTTGAACAAAATATTCGTTGCCATTCTGCGAGAAAATGGTCTATCTATCTATCTATCTATCTATCTATCTATCTATCTATCTATCTATCTATCTATCTATCTATCTATCTATCTATCTATCTATCTATCTATCTATCTATCTATCTATCTATCTATCTATCTATCTATCTATCTATCTATCTATCTATCTATCTATCTATCTATCTATCTATCTATCTATCTATCTATCTATCTATCTATCTATCTATCTATCTATCTATCTATCTATCTATCTATCTATCTATCTATCTATCTATCTATCTATCTATCTATCTATCTATCTATCTATCTATCTATCTATCTATCTATCTATCTATCTATCTATCTATCTATCTATCTATCTATCTATCTATCTATCTATCTATCTATCTATCTATCTATCTATCTATCTATCTATCTATCTATCTATCTATCTATCTATCTATCTATCTATCTATCTATCTATCTATCTATCTATCTATCTATCTATCTATCTATCTATCTATCTATCTATCTATCTATCTATCTATCTATCTATCTATCTATCTATCTATCTATCTATCTATCT